TCCGAACATGTCAATCATGGGCGATAGATTCGCCATCTCGTATGTGTTAGCTAGTACCATTCGATGAAAAGTTTGGATAATCGTCAAGGTCTTGGTTCTCTCAGAACCCGCACTCCTGAAGTGACGCAACGTCATGAGAGAGAGAGAGAGAGAGAGAGAGAGAGAGAGAGAGGTTGAATGGCAAAATTGAAATATGGGTCAAATTGCGGCCGCAATCTATTTCGCAGTTGGAATGATTTTTTAAAATTTATGTRGCGTTTGTCCTGGAAATATCACAACAAAATTTACGAGTACTCCAATTTTCAGGTTTTTTCACGCATTCTTCTGAGCGCGAAAACTCACTGAATTTTAAGTACTTTTTTAGTTGGCCCAGGCATGGCTGAGTGCCAAAAATGGAAAATGTGCTGAATCGGCGCGACCATTATTTCGCAGTCTAAATGATTTTTTATAAATGTTTTATTATTATTTCTGGAAAGAACACGATCTCATCTATGGATTCTCAAAATTTCAGATTTTTGTGCATGTTCGTCTGAGCACCGAAAATCGCAAAAGTTGCCTCTTGCAAAACGCCTGTTTCGTTGTGCCTCACTTCCCTGTTTTGAGAAGACGGGGCTCAATGCCTGGGCCTGAGGGCCCTTTTGCAGATCACATGCCCTCACTTCTTTTTGGGGTCCGCTTCTACCCGAGGACCGGTTCAATGCCCCCACTTCGTTTTGGGGTCCACTTCCACCCGAGGACTGGTCCTTCGTTTTTCCAAAAGTCCCGGTTTTACCAGAGCTAGTTGTGTGTACTCCGCAATTTTGCCAAGGACTGGTCCCCCAAATTTTTTTGCCCCCGAAAAAAACACTTGCGTCCTGGTCGCCCGCCGCCAAAAATGCGACACCTTGACACTGACGCCGAATCCCACTATACCGCAGCCTAAGGGCTGCGAATATGAGCCTCGAGTCATATGGGGTTTGACCGAAAATAGTTTTTTATGAAAAACATTGTGGACTTTGCAAACTTGACTTTTTTCTTAGTCCACTTTTTACGAATAGCTTGTCCATTCTTGTCCTTGACCATTCTTGTCTGATGAAGGAAGTATTGAAATTGAAAGAAAAAGTCAAAAGGCTGGTATGTTTGCTTATTGACCACAAAACAGGGGACACCCTGGTGTGTTGTCCGGTATTGTATCGCGAAGGGCTGGATAAAATGTTATGGATAATAGAGGGTTTGAGGAGATATGCGAAGACGAGAGCTCCTTGCTGAGAAAAATGAAAGTCAACTACAAGGAAGAAGGATTTGACACCTTTGCAAAATGGGAAAAGAGAAGGAAGCTATGATAGGTGTATGTCATACCCAAGCATAAAGACATTACGAAATGGAGGTTCATATGTCCATCATTTGCAGAGTGTAATGTGCGGGGATCAAAGAAGGTGTCAAAGGTTGTAAATGAGATGATATGGGGCTTACCTAAGAGGCCTTATTTCAATATGAAGAGTACAAATCTACTCGTGCAACAAGTGCAATTGATTGATAAGGATGTGGGTAAGAACGAAGAATTGTTGACAGCCGCGTACGATGTCAATGAGATGTTTTGCAATTTTTCGCATGATTCAAAAATGAAAGTTTTTTAGTGGATCGTTGATTTATGGGTGAGGGATGGAGTGAAGAAGGTGATGGTAAAAAAACATGGGAAGAAAGAAAAAATGATGAGAGGGAAGCAACAAGATGGTTGGATACCAGTTGAGTTTGAAGATGTGTTGAAATTTGTTAAGTTTGATATGGGGAATACCTTCACTACAGTGGGAGGCAAAATCCTGAGACAGAAGATTGGTATCCCTATGGGGAAACCTTATAGCCCTACGACTACCTGTATGTTGTGCGCTCATTCTCAGTTAGTCTTTTGCTATCCTTAGGAGCTGACAGATCGTTAGTGCACGAGGTTCGTCTTATCGACGATGTGTAAGTGTTCATTAAGTTCAAAAAAAAAGATAAGGATGGGGAAAAAAAAAACATGGATGATTCTTGGGAGATCCGAGGGCTCGTACGACAATAACCTGTCATTGGAGTGTACGAATCGCTCAGACGGTTAGGAATTATTAGGTTGCATGATGAAGGATTTTGGATCAACTTTAGGGATCAAGTGTGCAACAATGAACAAAAACCATAAATCGATGGGAAATGTGATAATTACATTTCATAATTTATATTCAAGCAAGCGACAAAAAACAGCGGTGATCACTTTTTTCTTTCACCATGCTAAAAGGTTTACGAATATACGTGGTGCAGAAGATGTTTTTCTTTTTTTTTGAAGATTGAGTTAAGGTTGAGAGAGTTTTAAGATGATTAATTTGATAATGCTTAAATTGTTTCTCGATGGAGTTTGGTGGCTTATGGGGACATTGGGCTAGTTGCTGACGGGTTGGAACAAACCTTATGGGCGTTGAGGTCGTGTGGTATAAGGGTTTAATCATTATGTGAGGGGGGGGCGCAACAGTAAAGGTCCTCATGAGGTCTGGGTTTAAGGCTTCTTGTAGACTCGTGTGCCCCCCAAACGATGGGGTTGTGTACTAGGCGTAAGGGTTTTGATAAATTTGTATGGGATGGGGCCAGCCCTTAGGCTGTGGTCTACTGGGGTTCGGCGTCTGTGTCAAGGTGTCGCATTTTTTGCGACGGACGACCATGATGCAAAGAGGGTTCTTAGAGGGCAAAAAAATTTGGGAAGCCGGTCCTTGCCAAAATTGCAGACTGCCTACAACTAACTCTGGTAGAACCAGGACTTTTGGAAAAAGGAAGGGTCGGTCCTCGGGTGGAAGTAGACCTCAAAAAGAAGTGGGGGATGTTGGACGGGTCCACGGGTGGAAGTGGACCCCAAAACAAAGTGAGGGCATGTGAACTGCAAAAGGGCCCTCAGGCCCAGGCGTTGAGGCCCGTGTTCTAAAAACAGGGAGGTCAGGCACAACGAAACAGTCGTTTTGCAAGAGGCACCTTTGGCGATTTTCTGTGCTCGGAGGAACCCGCACAAAATTCTGAAATTTCGAGAATCCATAAATGAGATCGTGTTCTTTCAAAAAAAAAATTATAACATTAAAAAAAATCATTTAGACTGAGAAATAATCGTCGCGTCGATTCGACACATTTTCTATTTTTGCCACTCAGCCATGTATGAACCAACTTAAAAAGTACTCCAAATTTTATGAGTTTTCACTCTCAGAAGAATAAGTAAATAAACCCGAAAATTGGAGTACTCGTTGATTTTGTTGTGATTTTCCAAAAAAAATGCTAAATAGATTTAAAAAAATAATTCCAACTGCGAAATAGATCGCGGCCGCAATTTGACCCATATTTCAATTTTGCCATTGAACCTCTCTCTCTCTCTCTCTCTCTCTCTCTCTCTCTCTCTCTCTCCCCCTCTCTCTCTCTCCCCCTCCCTCTCTCTGGTAAGCCCCCCACTCCCTCGTTCTCTCTTTCTTTCTTTCTCTCTCTCATTCTCTGTCTCTCTCTCTCTCTCTGGTAGGCCCCCCGCCTCCCTCTCTCTCTATCTCTCTTTCTTTCTCTCTCTCTCTGTCTCTCTCTTACTCGTATCAACAAATGGAACAACTCTCTCTCTCTCTCTCTCTCTCTCTCTCTCTCTCTCTCTCTCTGGTAGCCCCCCCCTCTCCCTATCTCTCCCTGTTTCTTTCTTTCTCTCTCACACTCTCTCTATCTCTCTCACACTCATAATAATAAATGGAACAAAACTCTCTCTCTCTCTCTCTCTCTCTCTCTCTCTCTCTCTCTTTTGTGCGAGCTCTTAGTCTCATTGATTTGGCTACCTTAAGGCTGCGTTCCCCGGGCCCACACGGTAGACAATAGCCTATGGCGGTTAAGCTTGAGAGGCTAGAATACAGTAGACTAGTCTTCACCTATAAGATGTCTCGCGGCATTAGGATCTTCATCTCCGCCGTGATTATGACCCCTGGCGATTCCGGCTCTGGTGGCCGGATGAAACATGTAGGGTCAACCGCCAGATGCTTGGACGTGGACTACGGGCCTGATGACCACTTTCGGTTCGAGCTACAGGCTGTGTTTAGGGCCCAAATTTCCCATGCTGTACTGAGTTACCTACAGAGGTATGCATACACTCTAGGAATACCTCAGGATAAAAACCCATCCAAACAACTCCAATTACAAAAAGGTAAAAACATGAAAAATTCTCTTCTGCATGCGGTGTGTCATTTTACCATCTCAATTCCCCCCTCCTTCCTGCTCATCTTCTCCTCTTGCTTTCTGTTTGATATGGGTGTTCCCTTTCTCTCTAAGCTCCTTTGGATATGGATTGTCTGCATCTCTTGAAGTTCGTGGTTGCATCGTAGTCAATATTTTTGTGTGATGATATCACCACAAAAGAAGGCCTAACCTTGCAGACAGAGGCCATACACCACTAGAACCGCAGCCTGGGTTGTGAACACAAACGCGGCACCCCACTACCGTAGACCGTACCCTCGGGGCTGCGAACTGGTGCTGGTGCTCCGTGTTCTGGCTGCGCAGGCTTGTTGTCTGGCCCTACTGTAGCTGGAAGTCCCAACGGCGGTACGACTCGAGGGGCATGTCCCTAGCGTGGTGCTCGTGCTGGGCGGGTTTCATTGTAACCGAAGGACGACGGGCGGGGAGGTCCACATTGCAACCACGCGCCCGCCGCTGCGCCTCCGCGCCCACGGAGGCACGTGCCGATGGACCTACGCACGCTCACGAAGGGAGGCACGAGGCGAGGAGGGCGAACGGAAGTAGAAGGGTCCGACAGGGCAAAGCAGGATGACGTGACTACCAAAACATGGAAGAGGTCCGCGAGGCCGTGCGCGGGGGGGAGGTCGATCGCGCGGGTTTTTGGATCGGACGGCTGTGTACGAATCTCTTTTGACGTCCTAGCGGGCCGGCGAGCGGGGCCACGGACGGCAGGGGTGGAGTTCGGCAAAGGGCATGCAGGCGGAAAGGTGGTGGCGTGAGGGGTGGCGTTGGGGGACGGGCGCGGGGTTAGGGCATCGGATTGAGGGTTCCTGAAAAGCGCCGCCAGGAGGGCGTTGTGTCGTGTACCTCGCCGTCACACCCCCAAGCAGGTTCGGCTGCAGGGCCTTCCTTCTCTCCCTTTTTCTTTCCCCCCATCCCTGACGCGCTGGTTGAAGCGCGCATGGGTGGCCGGAGGACGAAGGTGCCCGTCGACGCGCTCTTGCGCGTTGTCCCCTTCTTTCCGCCGTCTCCCTGTCTTCGTCTCTTTTCTTCTTTCCATCTTCTTCCCACCTCCAGCTACCCCTCATGTTGAAAATCAAAAGGAAAAAAAAACGTAAAAGTCGAAAAGACCGAAAAAATAGGCAGGCTTTTCCTCTTGTCAGTGTTTTTTTCCGACCGTCTCTTTCTCTCTCCTCCTTCGACCTCTCCTCTGCTTTCTTCCGCTTCTCAACTCCTCTCCTTTCTTTTCTCCTCCTCCTTCCCTCTCTCTCCTCTCGGAGTCTCTACTATCCTCCATAGTTTTAGCTATGACTACCGTCACCCCCGCCGTCTCCGCGTCCCTGTATGTTGGTGACTTGGACAAGGATGTCACGGAAGCTCAGCTCTACGAGCTGTTCAGTCAAGTCGGCCAAGTCGCATCTATCCGTGTCTGCAGAGATGCCGTTACTCGGCGATCGCTGGGCTACGCCTACGTCAACTACAACAGCACAGTTGATGGTAATTTCTACCTTTGCCCCTTCTTTCAACTTGTGAGTCCCTTTTGTGACCCCCCCTCTTCGTGCTCAGGTTTGTTTGTTTTTTTTCCTGTATGTCTATTCTATGTTTGCCGCTGCTTCTCTACGTGGCTCTCTCTCTGCGTACGCCTCTTCACGTCCCTGTGCACGTTCTCCTGTCTGCGTTCCCTCAGGCTCCTCCTCCGCCAGCCTTCCGTGTCTGCCTGTGTGCGTCACCCAGCCCGCACTCTCTTCTGTGCTTTTCATCTTCGTTCTCTTCTCAGATCTTTCTCTACTTAACTGCTTTATCGCTGCTTTCATCCCTTTGATATCTTCTGATCCCTCCGTGTGCTCATCTGTTCGTTCCTGTGCTCATCCATTCAATTTCGTTATACTCCCTTCTGCTTCATCCTGTTCTCCTATACCCTTTTCCTCTTTCGTCTCTCCAGCATTTCTCCTTCCTGTATCCCTCTCCTTCATTCTGTGGTTTCTCCTCGCTGTGTCTCATGTGCTCTCCTCCGACTTCCCCTCTCTCTTCTCGTTTTCTCTCTCTGTGTTGTCCTCCTCCTACAAGACTGCTTTCTGTTCCTTACGTTTCCCCTCTTCTTCCTCTCCCCGCTGCTTCTCTTATTCGACCCTCTCATCCTCTCTCCTGTCCTCGCGTTCCCTCTTCTGTCCTTTCCTCGTTCTCTCCCCTTCACCATCCTGGACTCCTCCCTCGCCTGGTCGCCGCCGCCGCAGCTCTCTCTGGGTCTTCTTGTCTCTCCTCCTCGCAGCTATCTCCTCCCTTCAATGACACCCCTATGTTCTCCTTTCTGTTAACGTCCGATTCTCTTTTCCTACATCGACAACCTATATTCTTCTGCCTCTCTTGTTGCCCACCTCTTCCCGCTCTCTAGCTGCTGTTCTTTCTCTTCTCCCTTTCCATCAGATTTGTCCTTGTCCTTTTCTCCTGGCCTCCCCTACTGCGCCAACGATTTGTCCTTGTCCTTTTCTCCTGGCCTCTCCTACTGCGCCAATGATCTCCCCCCTTTCTCCACGTTCTTTTTCAGTCTCTTGTGTCTCCTTTCTGCCTACCCCTGGCCTCTTCTCTCGGTCTGTCCTTTTTTCCTACGGACGAGTCTTCCCCGCCGCCTCCTCTTCCCGAAGGTTTCTCATTTCTTTCTCTACCCCGTCCCTTCTCCTTCGCTCCCACTCGCGCTACCCTGATTGTTACCTCCCACTCCTCGCCCTTGCGCTCAGCTTCTTCTGATGCTCGTTTCCTTCCTTTTCTCTCCTAGCTCCTCAGTATCCTACATCCCTCCATTAATGTTCCCGTTTGTTTGCTCTCCTCCCAGCTTTGACTCCCTATCAGCTCCCTCCTTGGGTCCCCTCGTTTCCTTTGCTTTTTCCGTCTCTCCCTGCTTACTCCTCTCCTCTCCTCTCCTTTCCTCTCCTTTCCTCTCCTCTCCTCTCCTTTCCTCTCCTCTCCTTTCCTCTCCTCTCCTCTCCTCTCCTCTCCTCTCCTCGATTCTTTTCTTTTCGCTGTTCCCTGTTGTGTCATTCGTGTTTCTCTCCAGTCCTCTCATCTCCACGTCATTCCTCTTGTCGCCACGTGGCAAGAAGAGAAAGGATGTCTTTTCAAAATTGACTCTGTTGTCATATCTACCTCCGCCTCTCCTCGTCATCCTTTCTCTTCTTGCCACACCTTTACTGCTAACCCTCGACTGATCATTTCGCAGCCGCCTCCATTTAATCTCGCCGATGCTGTTGTCTCCCTTGTTTCTCCCTTTTCTGATCTTATTTTGTTTCCAGCCTCCGCTCGTTTCCCTTGGTATTCGTTCTCTCTCTTTCTAGTTTGCGGAGTTTTTGTCCTCTGCCCATTATTAGGGTACCTATTTCATTCCTCTCTCTCCATCGACTCTTTTCTTTTTCATCGCTCGCCTCAGGCCTTGCCTTCGATATGCATTCCTGCCTTAGGTGTCTCTTCTCGCTCCCTTCATTCTCTGTTCTCATAGCTTTTTTAACTCCTCCAGATCGCAGTCTCCGTCCCGTACGCTCCCCTCCCCCTTTAGGTCTCCTCTGTGTCTGCGCTCTCTCATCTTTCTCTTCCCGCCCTATGTTCTTCCTCCTGTTTCTCACACGTCTGTAGTTGCCCCCCTTAACAACGCGTCACTCACGGCAAGTCGCTGTTATTCATGCGCCTGATCAGTGTTGTCACCCTTATGTACCCTTTAATGCCTTCCGCACGAGACGTCTCCATCATCCATGCGCCTGATCCGTGTTTCATGGTCTTCTGTTATGCGGAACGCTCTCTTGCTTCCCTTGGTTCTCTCACATCGACTTGTCCCCATCTGTGTCCTCCCACTGTAATCAGACGTCCTCTGCTCGGCCGAACCGTGTCTTTTCTTTACATCCACGGCGTATGCAGCCGCGGGCCCTCGACACCTATACATCTCTTTGACCTGTTGTGTATAATTTCGCGTGACGTCTGTTCCTCCTGGAGTGGTCTGCCTGGATCGTTGTTTCGACAAAATGGAAATGATTGAACCTATCAAAGAACTATAGCTCTGTGCTGAGACGGCGCATTCACACCGCCGTTGAGTTTCGATGCGCGGGGAACAAGCGCTGCGGCGAGATGCACCCCCGTGGGACGGTGCGAAACGGGGGATTGCCTCATGGGCGGGGGAATGGGTTAGCTGGTGGGTATAGGCGGACGAAAACAAGAGTGGAGTTGGTGAACGTGGTCAGCCTTCGTCTTTACAAGGAGGAGGAAGGCTGAAGTGAGGGAATTCTGTGCGCGGTGGAGTGATCGCACACCTCCTAAGATGCCTGTTCTCGATTTTCACGTAAAGGCTGCAGTGATGGACGTTGGGAGGGAGTAGGTGCTGGCTCTGCAGTGATGGACGTGGGAGGGAGTAGGTGCTGGCTCGTCTGGCGACCGAAACCGAAGTGCATGTTCCACTTTCCTTCTTCTTGCTGCGCAGGAGGGTTACTGACGGAGGCTTTCCACTAACCCTTCGATTATAGCACTCTTTCAGTTCTGAGTGAAACCTGTTGCAGCGAAGCGATCGCGTGCTTTCGGCGATGGTGGTGGCGATAACAGGGGAGGGCCTTACGTCTACACAATGTCAATGTGTGGGTGGTGGTAGGGCCGCTGGGTGCCCATGATGATGATGATATGAGGAGTGGTGCTCCATCTCCTCCGGCGGTGAGAATGTAGGCAGGGGGGGATTGGGCTAGGCTAGGGGCAGTATTCGCGTGCTGTGATGGGCGGCAGCCGTTATCGAAAAGGGGCGCTGCGTGCGCATGGATGTGATGATATGAAGAGTAGTGTTGCGCCGGCCCCGCTGACGGTGAGAATGTAGGCTAGGCTCGACAAGGGATTGGCCAAGGCCAGCCAGTATTCGCGTGCAGTGCTAGGCTGCATCCGGGATCGGTCTGCTGATGTGAGGGTTTATGCGACGCTGAGGCGCACTCTCAGTAGGACGATCTGCTGTGGTGATGATTTTCTTTCTTTCTTTCTATTTTTGGTAACTCTCTTCTTATAACGTCTGTGTCTGTCACTCCTTTGCCGTTTAGAGTGATTAAACGGCATGACCGTAGTGATCAGGCAGGATTCGTCGGTTTATTTTACTGCGTTCAGGTCACTCTATGTAGTAAAGAACCGTAAGAGGGGAATAGCCTGTGCTTGTAAAAGATTGGGGATGCTCTGCTGGTCTATTGTCGCGAAGATGATATGTGTGATTTATGTTCTCCTGACCTGATGATTTCTTGGTTGATTGTCTCCTTCACGTGATTGCGAGGATTCGCTTTTTCATCTTGCTTTTTGGCATTACTGCTTAGCCCCGTGAATCCCCATGGGCTTGGTAGTGTACAGTGGGGGGGGGGCACGGTGGGTCGTCCCGTGCACGTTCGTTTACCATGGAAGCCAAGCTGGATCTTTTCGACTGGAGAGGGCGCTGAAGATTACGTGTCGTCGTCTTTAGAGTGAGTGAATGGAGGCAGGGGATTAGAAATGATAATCGACTGCCTGCTACGCTACCCACGTGATGATAAAGTCGAGGATGTTCCTTGATTGGCTCATTGGTTGCGGTTGCTCTACCCAGCGGAGGAGTTGAGGGGTCTTCTCTACAGGAGCCGTTGATTAGCAAACCGGTTATGCGTCATGGATGTTTACAGCCGTGCGCAAGCGATCGAGCAAATAACATAATCCACTGTGTTTATTCGTCCTCACTGCACAGTATGTTGGTGCGGGTGACACATCCTGTGTGTGCGCACGTTTCGACAGTTGTCTCGTAGGATGTTGCGTCTTCCCCGGTTCTATTGGATACTTTTGCTGCCACCGCCAGTTTGTAAATGAATACCATGAAGTGGCGTAGTCTGCGACTCTTGTCGTACAGAGCTGCGCATATCGCTGTGGTGCTCCTCGCGATGATCTTTTGGCCCACACGCATGCTTCGTGTCTATCTATGCACGCTATACATTTGTTTGTGTAGGTGACACTGTGTGCTCGACTAGATGTATGTGTGATCTGCCTGTGATGTTCGGTTAACTAGCCAATAGTAATTTCGTCGGTTAACTAGCCAATAGTAATTTCGTCTTTGCACACGCTATTTTGCTCTTCTTTTCTACTCTTCCCGTCTCTCTTTGTACGCCACATGCCGCTGTGCATTCCACGTCTCGCAATCGACCTTTACAGCTCATTCAGTTACTCGTATAAACGAGTTTTTTGCATGGTGTACGTCATCCTGACCTGTATATGGTCGAGTTGTTTGTATCATTAGGTCATTTTGTAATCGTAGTTCCTGTATACCTTGATTATTTATACATCGAGATCTTCAAATCCTCGCGAGTACCCACAGCGAATACATGTTATGAATCTGTAAATCTTCCAAAGAATCAAGCCCGGTGTTTTGTCGTCTACAGAAACAATCCCGGCTGTCTGCATCTGCCCATCTGCTGCATGTAGACGTAAAGAGTTCCTGTCTTTCTGGAACAGCATGTCGTCGTGTCGCACGCATA